CTTCTTCCTTCCCAACAATAGCTAATTGACAGAACTTGCTTCGTTCAATCCATCCATATCTCTGGTATGCTGGAAACTCCCCTCCTTCAATTATGGAGAACTGGTAAGGAAGACTAGCTGTGTGAACTGGAGCAACAGCAAATTTAAGATACTTGGATAAAGAAGGATCACTGAGATCAATACAGTGTTGCATTTCTATCCTCAGTGACTTGAGGAGTGGACTGGTTGATATTGCATACACTGCACTGACTAGTCTAGTACTATCAGGAAACCTATAAAAGGAATTGATAATTAAAATATGTGTACATGTATAATAATGTGTGATAGGTGCTTTTTGTCAGGTAAAATTTTGTTATTTCATGCATCAAAAATTTGAAATTTGGCATAAAAAATTGTCATGATCACTATTTAGTTGTTAGAGAGCAAAATTTATGTCAGTAATATTTTCTTCATGTTGGCACAAATGATTAAAAATTATTATGAATTGTTTTCCCTGACAATAATTCCCCACTAACTATACAGTAATTACTACATGTACAGTATATGTACTTGAAGTGTCCTCCTACAAGAGCTAGTACTGATACTTCTACAGTCTCTGATGCTGATAGACTATCCTCTGGTACACTAATCCTCAGTCCATACTCCTCCCAGTTCATCAGTTGAGGTTTGTCTCCTTGAACTAAGAACAACTTCTTCCCTGCTATTTGGGACTCACTCAGACCTTCCAAATTATCTGTAGGAAAGTATAACAACTGAAATTATGTATTGTTAAAATGTGTATGTAATTATGGACAAAGATGAGACAATGAACCATAATTCATGTAAAGCTACATTGAATGACAATGTACAGTACATGACGCAACTTTAAAAATTCATAAAAAATCCAATTTTGATCGGAATCAGTTCACAACATAAGAACATGTATTAGTAACGCGGTAGCGTTACTAAGTAGGATTCACCCCAAAACAAAATGTCTGCCACGACTTTTGCAGCCTTGCTATACCGGGAAAACGAGCTCCTGTGCTTACCAGACTTCATAGAGGACCTTATCTTGACCAGAGGACTCCATTGGTACTACTAGCGTGGCTCTAAACCTTGTCTAAGAGGAAAGTAAAAATTGGCAAATCGGCCGTTTTGTTCAGTCCACTTTTTTCGTCTTCATCATCTTCTGTCAATCCAGTTAATGGAGGGTATCATGGTCTTTGGTCAATGCTACAAGGCTAATTTTTACACCATTCTACTCCAACTATCCATGCGCAGGTCCACAACTTTTCAAAAAATTCTAACAATAAGATAAAGTTGCCCTCTCTCTATCACCCCAGCCCAGCTCACCTCATTCCGCCATTTTGTTAATTAAAGAAACATGACTTAACATGTGCTCCAAAATATGGGTGTGGTCGCGCATGCTCAGATCTCAGAACTGGGAAAAGGGAGCAATTTTTTTTATCTAGCTCTGCTTGGATCAACTGCAATACTTGGTGGAGGTTCCAGGCTTCCAGTTTCAGCTAAGAGAAGGTAGTTAGTCTTGGATATTATTGTTTTATTATGTGCGTTCAATAAATTGTATTTAAAAATACAAACAATAATATTAATTCATGTTTTACAATGATCATGCATGAACTTGCAACAGAAACAACAGTCAACAGGACAAGATTGGAGTAAAGAGATGGGTACTGTCACTTCTTCTTAAACAAGGATTTGTGCCAAGATTATTATTATACCATACTTCACTAAACACTGAAGTATAGAATTCCTTTAGCATAACTATTCACCTCAATAGCAATCGACACCATGATGTCACCATCTGAAAAAATATTACAAATATTATAAAAAATCAATACAAACAAGAACATAAAAAATTAAAAAAAAACAAGAATGAAGTAGGATTCTAGAGCAAAT